TCCCACCTTGAGGGATCTTGACAAAAGTGGGCCATGGCAAAGCCAAAAGGGTTCCATTGGTTGGACACATCACCCGCCAAAATTTGGAGGGCTTTGACTGTGGCTCCATACGGGGAACAAGGGATTCCCCCAAGACCGAGCTGTAATGTGGTTGAGTCTGGTTTAAGCAATGCAAAGGATGACTTTAGGTTCTCAATCAATTGAAGAAGCGGCCTCCTTGCGTGGCGTTTCCCGGAAACCAAAAGGAAGCCAACCACGGAACCATCCGTCACGCGCTTTGCTCACCGAAACCGAGGGTGATCTTGGACTCCCAGCTAGCGCGACCCAGGGGTCGCGGACCTCGAAAACTTGCCGTGGCCTTTTGGAGATTTAAGCGTCGCTCATCTTCCATTTGCGAATACGTCCGGCAAAACATGTGTCCAGTGGTGATAGTTTCCTTTAAAAGGAAGAAGAAATCACACATGCTCTTAGGCAAATGGAAGCTAAATGTGTCTTAAGTGGATTTAAGCCTGATGAGACCGGGTAAGGTGTTTGTGGGCTGGCACGGGTAGCTAACCACTCCCATTTTGGGTGGTTTTAGAGGAACACTCGACGGGAACCACAGACCCACAAGGCTTCACCTGCGAGGTGGCATACCAACTGAGTCATGATCAGGATTTACTCCGCAGAATCTCCCTGGGTTTGTCGCATTCCAGCGATCACGGACTCGGTATCTTGTCAGCCATATCTTGTTTTACAAGGAATCCAAAACCTGAGAGAAGACGTGTCGATTCGCAATGACATAGGCAAGCGATGCACCCGCTGGTACCCACCTCTCCGTGTTCTAAGCCCCACATGTTCCAGAGGAAATGTTTGACCACACCTCACATCAAAACCAGCCACTTGGATGTTCAACTCCTAGGTCCACGAGTTGGAACAACTGGGGATGGCGCCCACACCTCAACTTTGGTGTTGCATCATGCACGTTCCGCGCACAATAAAAAATGCCCAACAAACCCACTAAAAGCATTCATAGCTTCAGAAAGACTTTTGAAGGTCCCTGCCCCGTCAGTCTGGTCGAGATCCGATTGCCTGGAAATAAGAAGAGTTCATGACTATCCTTAGTGCTGCAACCCTAAATAGGCAGGTCTGTTTGATCTCTGCAAATGAGTCACCAGTACCCACCGATAGGAAACGGGCCCTGCGCCGCTACACACCAAACCATAAGAAATGGCAGCAAGCGCCCGAAACCGATACTCCAGCAATCCTCTGCAGTTCATAGTATCTAAGATGGGTTCCCAAACCACTACTTCCAGGGTCAATTGGGATATCACATAGTTTATTGGGTGACTATATGATATAGTGTCTGTATATCCCATGAACCCCAGCAAATAGTGATCTGAGGAGTTTGTGGAACACCTCTTAGATATTACAACAATTCTTAGCAACAAGTGAAGACCTCACTTTCTGTGGGTCCAGCGGCAAACCCCGAAATACTTCAAACATTTTTTGGTCTAAATATCTGCGGATGGAAAAGCGAAATCCTCTTAGGCACCACCTAAGAAACCCTGGCATGGTCTGATTCCCCTGTAAATACCAACCAACAATGGTTTCAACCATGGTTTCCAAGTGGTGCGAAATGGATTTCGTCCATCCACAGTATCAAACCCGATAGCCATCAATACTAAGCGCTTGCGGAAAGGAAGAAAGGAATCCCCTAAAAATGGGGGGCGATCTCGATCAAGCGTTTACATTGGTGTCAGCGTAGCTCCAAGCCATCCACCAGACGACACGAACCAGACTGGTTGAGCCCGCGAAGAACCTTTGCCGGCTCTTGCCCACTTGACTAACTACGGGCACTGCCAATGGGCTGTTAGGGGGGGTCCTGCAGAAATTGAAGGCTCTCTCTTGCAAAATAGAGGACCCCTTGTTACTCATGCAGTGAACAAAAAAATGAAGGCTCTCTTGCAACATAGAAGACTCCTTATTAATCATCCAGTCTACAAAAAAAGAAAAGAAAAACGGGGTGTCCGTTCATCAGGGGCGAAGCCGTGCCGAAAGCTCTGGGAGCGAGGCATATAAGCAAAGTACCTCAGCATCGCTCATTCCACATTCCCACGATTCCCACTCTTCCCACGAGGGCCATGTGAATAGGGCTAAGCGGCTAAACGGCATCTGTTGCACCAAAGAAAATGTGTGTGTGTGTGTGTGTTTTTCTTGGCAAAAGGCAGATTGGACCTAAATCAACTTGCACCAGCTCGCTTGACAAAGGGCCTCGCACCTTGCCGCATGCAACAGCCCAACCCACTGCCGAGATCCATCTGCAACTTTGGTAAAATCAAGGCTCAGAGCTCCTTCCGACAACTTCTGCTGAAAAGGAGCATCCATGAACACAAGGACTCACATGACTCAACACCTCTGACAAACTTCCATGCATCTGGAAGGGAAGGGAGGTGTTTAAGTCCTTAAGTTACCTTGGCAAACCCGACGTAAAAGCGTGTGTGACTTTTTGAGGGTACCCTTTTTACTGGGCTGCCCTCAGATCCACCGCTATAAGTTCAACTTTTAGTGGGTTAAATGTAAACTACATATATATACACACAAGAAGGCTAAAAAGCTAAGGAGATGGCTGGGAGCCACCAAGCTTGGCATTGGTTTAAATGGAAACCAATTGGACAGGCCATTTCGACGCAGAACTTGACCATGTACAAGGCTTACAAGGAACCGGGAAAATCTTCGAGCAAGTGCTGGTATTGTGGTGGTTTGCCGTGCGGGCGCATGTTCGAGGATTGCCAAAATTCAAGATCATGCAGGTACTACGCAAAAGGAGCACACCAAGCTTTCCTTCAAACCCAGCCCAAAACTGCCACATGATGCCAATTGAGCAAGTCATTGTACTCGCATGGCCCCAACATCTAGCATCTAGAAAGGCAAGTGGGGCTGCTTGAAACCAGTCAGCTCCGCTCCCTCAGCTGGGTGCCACAAAGATTCCACCCAGATTCCATCCGCTCAAGTGGACGTTGAGACGTTGATTCGGGGCGTCGTTCTTTGGCTAGGCTTCACTGGGCGGAACACCGCCAGCCTTGAACGTCTAATCCAGGGATCCGATTCAGCAACGAGCAAGAAATCCGAGCAAGATCAGACTCGCTTTGGCTATGTTGTTGCCTTTGGTTGCTTTTGGACCCTCCCTCTGGGAATGACAAGGAGACTCTGACAAAAACCTCTTTGACACAAGGCGAATCCGCCCGCATGCACCCAAATCGATTCAACCCTGGTTCTGCATTTGGAGCCCCCCCCCCAACCCCACCCCACTCCCCCCCAACCCAAACTCAAAAAACAAAATGCAGTCTGAACGAACTCCTCGACCCCTGGATTCGTATTTCCGAAAGGGAGCCCCGGCTGTTCCATTGGCGATGCTTCGCTCTTCATAAACCTCGCTTCGCGCGCCCGAGCCCCGAGCCGCGGATGCCGCATGTGAAGCGCAGATACCGTCCACCCGAATTTGGGGTGTACAAAAGCAACCAAATGAGAGGTACTGGTAAGGTGGTTTACATCAGGATGAAAGTGGATGCCCAAATGTGCTTAAAGGCGATGACTCAACCAAAATGGGAAGACTTGCGCCATCCATTTTCATCCAACTGTACATAGTGCGATTGCACCACAACCAACCACAACACCTCGGTGAATTGCGGTAAGTTATTAGGGTACTCTTGTTCAGTTACATGCAAGGCCCTCAAACGGGACCTCTTGCCATCAAACCCTGGCGAATGGACCACGACAGTGGGTGTTCCATGGCCGAGGCAAACAGGGGGAAACGACCTTCGCAAGTGACCAGTGGTCTCCCGTTTCGCATTGTCCCGTTGCACATCCTGGCTCTGTGGGAATGGCTGGCAAAACTCATGGATTCTTATTTACAGGCTACACCTGAACCCCCTCACACAAGTTCACTTTAAAGGGGCCCAAAGCAGGTGATTGAAGACAAATGTTGCCAGCTCCTCATGGAAGCTGCCGCCCCAGACGAAGCATCTGTACTCCCATTTGAGGGTTTCAGACGACACCCTTCCTTCAGGGATACATCAAAAACTCAAGGGGAGTCTTCAAATCCGCTGGTGAAGGTGGGTTTTCAACTAGCCCAAACATATCCCAGGGATCCTGTCTCAGCTGTCCTGGCTGCCTAAGGGGCAATGGATGTCCGGTAGACTCATCACATTGTGAGCATAGGTGTCCTTTTTGGAAAACAGATGGCCCTGGTAGCTGATGGAACCGCCAGGCAAACCAGGGCCCTCCACTTTTCAACCAGACCAACCGAAAAGGACACCTATGATTGCGAGTTTTACTGGGTACAGTGTTGGATAACCTCCTGGGCCCTTGCTCGAGGGCCCTTGAAGCTGATGTTTGGCGGCTCAAGGAACACGAACGAAACCCGTCAGAACATTCGGAGAGCCTTGCAGTGCTGTCCGGTTGCGCTATGGGGGAAATCCGGCACGTCTCATGATGTCATATTGCTGCCCCGCCTCCCCCCCTGACAATGAAAGGAATAAGTGGCAAAGCTCGTGGTGTATGCGGGAGTTTCTGCTGTTGTAACTCTTTGAGTAATTCTTAAATGTAATACGTATCCATTTGGGCTTCTTTTTTGGGAAACGCCCTATGCGGGCTGTTGCTTGTTTCGTGGCCGGCGCCTGGCTATGCGTGCTGCAAGCACGAATCCGCAAAGCCGATGTTGGGCTTTGCGTGCCGTTGAAGTTTTGGCAGTCTCCGGAACAAAGCGACCCAAAATGCGGTTTTCTTGATATTGCCGCTGGCCGTGCTGACCCTCATTGTACTCACCCTAGAATTTCAACCCGCATTCAAAGAATGGCAGCAAAGACCCAGTTAATGGATGATGACACTTTTTAGGTAAACGCTGGCTACATGAAGCCCCATTGATTGAATGGCGGTTTGAACCCCAGGGCTCCCTTGACCCGACTGCGCAAGCGAAGGCACAGCTCGCGGCCGTCTCAGGCCCGACGGCGCTTAAGCATTCAGCCGAGGAACTTCAGGTACCACTTGACGAAGCCTGTGAAGGACCTCGGGCGCGTCTGGTTAGTTACGCTGGTAGGGGAGGTTACAACCATGCCTGTGGTGGGTTACAACCAGCTAACCGCTTAGCTAACTCCCAGACCACCCAAGCTGGTACCAACATCACTCCAAAGCGAAACTCCCTGGGCCCCAGAAGGTGATGCCTTCATCCAAGAAGGAGAAGTATACGAAGCCCTGCGATCTGGCTCTCAATTTCTGATGATACAAATGGCCCTGTGTTCCTTCATTGCCGGTGGCTCAATGTTGGCCGATCCCAAGACTTCCGAACGGAAGAGACGATAGGAGTGGTAATGCTATGGTTCCCTTGACACGAACCGTGAACATTTGCATGTGTGTGAATCAGTCTCACCCAGGTCGTCACGAGCCAATGCGCCTAGGGAAAGGGGGTGATGTCCTCTTACTAGACATTTATATGGGAACCTTGAAGCCAACAATCCTCTCGGTCTTGCTACTTTGTCGGGGCAGACTTGTTTCTGACCGACCCCGGCCCTAGAGAATCCCCAAGTGAACTTCACCGTAAGCTCGTTTGATCCGATGCGCTCGTTTGGCGTTCCAGCTAACCTTGAAACTTGAAGGGACCCCTTCTAGTGAAAGGGGAATTCAAACGACAAACCCTGTCTGCCATGGTTCCGGGAGGGATTCTTCCGGGCAAACTGCCATTCACATACTTTACGGGGTTGGGGATTCGCTAGGGATCGCCCTCATAGCTCTTGGACGGTTCTTTGGATTGACGCGTCAAACGCATTGAGGTCCCAATTGGAGGCATCCAGGGGGAAGGGTTTAAGGGTCTCCCTTGGTGGCTTTTCTGTGACTGCATTGGAATGAAAGAATGAAAGGCATGGAATACCTCTGGGAAGTTGCACTCATTGATGCCACACCACGCCGCACCGCACCGCACCACACCGCAACACACAACCCGACACGACACGACACGACACGACACGACACGACACGACACGGCACGGCACGACACAACACACACACACACACAAAGACACGGCCCGTACTTCGGCGATTCTCATTCCCTTGAAACCATAGCAAAAGAAGGTCGCTTTTCCGAATTTCCGATGGGTTTCCCACAGCCCAGTGCAATTTCCAAGGCACACGGAGCCGCGGCCATCCTTGTCGAAGTCCTTCCAGAACATCTTGAAGACATGCTCGGGGACCTGTCAAAAGTCGGGGGCAACATGAGTCATAATCAAAACCCAGCATTAAAATGGTCGTAATCCCAGAACCGTGTCAAGAACTAAGAAGGCGGATATCCGCAACTATTTCTGGCTGGGACTGCCCCTTACTAACCTTCATCTACCCGAATCGGTTTTGATTGTGGCTCATGAACATCAAAGCCCATCGGTCTCAAAACGGTCCATCCTCACCATGCTTCAAGAATTAAAAACAAGGCCGGCGCAGGCAGCCATTTATGGCAAAGGGATTCTCCCGCAACCTTCATCTACCCCGGGCTTTGAGCAAGTGCCCAGTGCATAACGGTAGGAGTGTTTTGAGGTAACGGTACCTCTTTCAGGTTGGTTTAAAAGGCAAACGCAAAGGACAACTGTTCCTTGGCTACATTGACCAAGAAACATGCCAAGAGTTGAACATGTGCCGACTCAAGGAGGAAGGCATGCTTTGGTACGTAATGTTGGCCCGAGATTGATAAACCCGTCGTATTGCTAGGGTGTATAAGGATGAATCCCTCCTAAAAAGGGGACCCCCAATTCATCAACCAGTGGTTTAGACATCCGGGGCTAGCATTGTAGGTGAGTTTGATTCCCCTTCCATCTCCAGTCATTGGAGTGAAGCAAACGCAAGTTCTCGAATGGGCATCGCTCGAAACTACAGGCCAAAGCCTCCTTCTCGCCAAGTCGCGGTTTACAAGCTGCAACCGCTTAAGCACACAATTGACATATAAGTCACCTGAGGGTACAATTCAATTCTCGGCAGACTTCCTTTTTGGGACTGCTTGCAACCTGCTCAGTTAGGTGCTTGTTGTGGCTCAAATTTCTGACTTAGTTCTACAGGTGAATTCCTCATTCTGTTCAACTATCCTGCTTTCGACAAAAAGCCTTCTTCCTTACATGCGATTGCGCAGATTTTCCAGAAACATGCATCCCTGGAAAGAATTACGCCTAGATGTGTGGCAATAATGTTGACCTACGATTAGTAAATAGACCATAAATAATGCTAACCGATTTCCCGAAAAAATAATAAATATACCATGAATAATGCTAACCGTTTTTCCCAGGGAAAAATATGAAAAAAAAACAAAATAGTATAAAGTAGTTCAAAAAATAACCTTCCCCCCACATGAATGAATGAATCCTGAGTTCCCCAGCTCACAAAAGAACCTAGAATTCCCATTGGGATCCACGCAAAATGCAGATTTTTATTCAAGGTCAGTGCTCCCAACCCTCATCCCCCATGGAATTTGCATGGTTTCATAGTGAATTTATATAGGGATCATGCCAGGCATCCCTTTCTTTTACAATTCCTTTTAAAAAACCATCAAAATCAACACATTGACCCTGGCAGCAAGAGTACCCCCCATGAACCCTGAGGCACTAAATAATAACCAGACCATGAATAATGCTAACAAGATTCCCCCATCAAAAACAATATCTGATCCCCTTATCTTTATTCATGGTCAGGCTTTCGATTCCACTTGGCTCATCCCACACTTGATTCTAGATGTATCCCAAATCCACAAACTTTATGGGGTCCCTTTCTTTTACAATTCCTTTTAAAAAACCATCAAAATCAACACATTGACCCTGGCAGCAAGAGTATCCCCCATGAACCCTGAGGCACTAAATAATAACCAGACCATGAATAATGCTAACAAGATTCCCCCATCAAAAAAATATCTGATCCCCTTATCTTTATTCATTGTCAAGCTTTCCATTCCACTTGGCTCATCCCACACTTGATTCTAGATGTATCCCACATCCACAAACTTATGGGATCCCTTTCTTTTAAAATTCCTTTTAACAAACCATCCAAATCAACACATTGACCCTGGCAGCAAGAGTACCCCCCATGAACCCTGAGGCACTAAATAATAACCAGACCATGAATAATGCTAACCAGATTCTTCCTGGAATAACCAAAAGTTATTGGCTCAATACTACTTTAGAATTGGCCCAATTCTAAACTAGTATTCCCCCAAAGCAAAATAAGAAAAAAACAACATGCCCAATACTACTTTAGAATTGGCCCAATTCTAAACTAGTATTCCCCCAAAGCAAAATAAGAAAAAAACAACATGCCCAATACTACTTTTGAATTGGCCCAATTCTAAAGTAGTATTCGAAAACCAAAAAAACTGAGCCCAATACTAAACTCCTTTAAACAAGGCCCGACCCTGAAGATTCTCCCCTAATCTTTATTTATGGTCATTCAGGGGGGGGGGCCCTATTTATTAATCATAGGTCAACATTAGCTGGTAGCCGATTGCCTCTTTTGCTCACTTCCTGAGTGGAAGGCACACACAATGTTCTTTATTTGGTTGTTTCTCAAATTGGGGAAACCATCGTAGGTGGCTTCCTTTTGGTTTCCTTTCAAGACCATCCCAAAAGAGGTCTGAAAGGTCTTACCACCAGCCAAAACTCAAAAAGGACGTCCAGCCATTTTGAGGAACTGAGTCATACTGGCTGCGCCGACCGCAGCCTCGCTCATGTTGGGTGGCTCGTCTGTAGAGTTGGTACGAACATTTTGTCGTTGTGTGGATACCTTAAAAACGACACCAGTGACAACCACGTGAGTCGGACAGCGACTCGCTGGCCTCAGGGCCCTTCGGTGCAAAGTGCTTCTGGATCCTCGTCGGCGCCAATCGGCTAGGAGAAAGCAAAGCTGACACGCAGCTGAAACGCATTCCCCATCACCCGCCCGTTTTGGATTGGGAATCCGGAACTGTTTGGGTTAGTTCAGGGTTCCCATTCAAACTCGACAGTAGAAAGTTGGACCCCTACCAACCGCTAATGTTCAAAGGTGGCTAGATAGCTCTGCTCGAAGCGGCAAACGCTTTTGTTCCATGGCTGCAAATCTGAATCAACAATCAGGGCTTTGCCGCACGGGCAACAACATGTCCATGAAGTTCAATGCAATGATGTCGCCCTCAAAGTCATCAAATGACCCCTGAAGTCTTCACTGACCAGCATGGTTCTCAAGATATGGTCCCGAACACATGGGCCTGGTCTTCCTTGGTGCCGTGAAACCGGTGTCGCGACCTTTAAGTTTCACACCTGCTCTTTCTCAAAAAAACAAAATCGACAAGACGGCTCAGTATGGTTGGAGAGAGCTGGGGGTATGAATCATGTCCACCATTCATTTGAGAGGGGGAATGTTGAGTGCGTCACTTTAATGCCCCCCGCATTGATCCGGATACGCTTTCTGTCAAAAACGATGGGCTTCGCAAAGGCCCAAGCAGGCTCCTATTTGCACAAACCTTAGTGCCATGCTTTACAGTCCTTTCGAGAGTTAACATTACCAATACTTCATGTTGAACCAGTAAAGCACATAACAACAAGCTGCTTGCATATTCCTTGCCGCTTGGATCACGGCTCGCTGTCGGCCATGTTTCTTATGGCAGACCAAAGGCGGCGTCAGATCCTCTCACGCCGAGCGGCAAGATCCGGAACTCGTTCATTTCCAGGGTGTTGCTTCCATCGATGTCGAGCTTCTTGAATTCGTCCTCAGCTTCTCAGCGCTTCACTGACGCGTTGCGCGCCCGGAGCTTTGGGCGCTACGCGTAGATCCCCAACTCCAAATTAGCCTCAAACTAGTCTCTCATAGCGCGTGACTTCAGGTACATGAGTGCGGCTCAAGATTTGCAGCCAGAGCAAGAGAACCGCAGGGTTTCGTTCACTTCTCCATTTACCCCCTTGGAGATACACCCACATGTTTGAGTCATCGTCATGTCCACCACCACGGGTCAAAGTCTCTCGTCTTGAGGGTACAGCCTGTGACCGTGGTAAGCCGTAAAGGAAGCCACGCCAGCGCCTCCATTTTCCAGTCGCTAAGGAGAAACTCTAGCAGCACGCGATTCGGTCCCAACCACTGCTTTTTGGTTGCCGTACCAAGCGGATTTTGGACATGGTTGAAAAGTGCAGTTGGATCGACCCGACAAAAAAGGTGCCCATTAAGTTGTAGCTTGCGAATCCGGTTTTTTTTTCCAGGGACTCTTCAGACCTGCCCGGAAGTTGAAAAGGCTCGCGTGGAATTCGGACGGCAAGCTGCATACTGTCTTATGTTTGCCTGCGCAAAAGCCCTTCGGGCACGTCATCTGTCCCATCTGCATGCAGCCGTCGCAGAAATGTGATCCTTCAGGGAGCAAACAGTCAAAACCCTTGTCATGCGTGCAACGTCAGACAACGCGAGCAAGCAAGCACCGCGTCGTGTTCCGCCCAAGGCGGCATGCCCAGCTGTCAGCTTTGCCCAAGAAGAACCGCATTCTGACACCCTCACACACGTACACAAATGCACACACACACAAACACATACGCGTGCGCGCATGCACGCATGAGTGCATGCACAGAAAGAAAACGGGCACATACACAGAGACACAAATCCAAATACATACATATGCCTACAAACATACACACGTTTAGACATAATATAAATATATATATATATACACAGACATGTATATATATATATATTAAAATAGACCTCTCTGTCATATCAATCCACAGGCGGGGCATCAATACTACGAAAGATCAGGTGTCACTGGTCACTTTTCGGGTGGCTCTAGTCTTGCTTTGGCTGCAATCACCAAAAGAAGATAAAGGTACTATTGTACTATACCTGCTGGCCCACCCAGACTCGCCTGCGTTGCTTTCCCTTGCGGTCCATGATTGCAACCGAGAAGCCCGAAACTAAGTGACTCTGTGTTCTATGACTGTAAAGGTGTTTTCCTTACAGAAGAGTACGCTGTGGGCCCTGGGTTTTTGCACCCAACCTGTTTCTCATGAATTCATGTGATTTGCCTACTTGGAAACCCCAAACCAAAAAAAACTCGAGAAATCGAAACAACAATCAAACAAGTTCTAGGAGAGATACTCGGTTCTACCCACTTAGAAACCTCAAAACAAACAAATAAATAAATAAAAGTCAAGATTTCGATTAAAAAAAACGAAAACACAGCAAAGTTCTAGGAGAGATGCTTGGTTTTACCCACTTAGAAACCTCAAACCAAAAACCTCGAGAACTCGGAAAAAAAGGGTATAGGAGAGATGATAGGGTATACCAGTAATGTCCTCTGCATAAATGTTTTTGTTTTTTCCCCCGATTTCTCGAGGTTCTTGTTTTGGTGTTCTATACATCCCTGACTGCTGGCACAAAAATGCAAAGTTCTAGGAGAGGTGCCAGGGTATACCAATAATGTCCTCTGCAAAAATGTGTCTCCGATTTCTCAAGTTGTGTTTCCTTTTGTTTTTGTTTTTCGGTTTTCTATACATCATGGTAATCCTCTTGCACATGTACTGTAATCTTAACTACTAGATTTAGAAAAGGTCTAAAGTTGAGCAATAACATTTGTTGGTCGAACTGCCTTATCTGTAGAAATAAGAATAACTGATTCAACTCTAGCTTTAATAGCCAAATCAATAGTATTTTTAGTTTTCAGAATATTGTTCATGGTCCTTGATATATGTTCCTCAACTAAAGGCATATGTTTGTAAGCTGCTGCATGAACCACTACATCTGGAAAGTAATCACAAACAAATGTTGTAGTGATTCTAAATCACAAACATAACATAAATTACACCAGCCTCGACCCCAAACAGCAAAAAAGCATGACAGGTCTGTATAACCCCAAAAAGGCTTGTCTCCTTCATGTAAGGTGCGAAATTGAGTAGCTTATGTGAGCAACACATAGTTACAATCAGTCCATGTATGTCCCTGTATACAGGAAGTCCCCTTTTTTGGGAAGAGGACACATCGGGTCCATCAGCATCGATGTTGTTCATCGACTTTGAGGGAGAAAATGCCATGTCAATGCCGTGTTCGAGAGTGAAGGCCCCGGGGATTCGGGGTGAATCAACCAAACACCTGGCATTAATCAAAGGAAGTTTCGAAGGAACTTTCGTAGTACGGACACTCAATGCATTTTTCCATCACCGAAGCATTTGGTGGCCGTCTCGCTACTCTGCTGAAACTTCCCTAAGGCTGCAGATTTCTTATATTCAAGAAATCCATAGATTTAAGAAAATCGATGAATTTACGTAAATTTCTACTTAAACGCAAAAGTTACGTATTTTTTAAGAAGGCCTTAATCTGTCGAGGAGGCCTGAAAAGTGCGTAAAAAGCGCATAAGAAATGCATTGGAATTGCATAAGAAATACATAGGAATTGCATAAGAAATGTATGGAAATTCATGGAAAACTCATAAATGTATAGCAAATTCATAGACACAAGTAAGTGATTCAGGTAGCAAGATGTACTTACATGCGCATTCACTCTGACACAGGTATAGATACAGAAGCAAATTCGTCTAAAGGTTATATGGCTAGTCCAAGCTCTTGGGAAGAACACTGCATGAAGTTTCCGTGGTTTTTCTTTTCTGGCCTGTTTGGTTGTTGCTGGCTGTTTCCCCGGGCTGCCAGATTTACTCACCTGAGTACTCTTACTGACACAAGTAGTGATTCAGGCTGCGAGATTTACTTACAAGTGCATTCACACTGAAACAAGTATAGATTCAGAAGCAAATTCATCAAAATAAAAATGTTAAATAATATATAGCTACTCCATGGTTGTTGTTTGTTACCTGCTGTTGTTGCTGGCTTTTTCCCATGAAACTATAATGAACTTTCCACAGGCACTTTCCTAGAAAGAGCCCACTATTTCCCATGAAGTTTCCATGGCTGTGTTGTTGCGACCTGCTGGGTTGTTGCTGGCTTTTTCTCATGAAATTCCCATGAACTTTCCACAAACACTTTCCTAGAAAGAGTCCACTATGTTCCATGAAAGGCTTTATGCATGTTCCATGAAGTGTCCGTGGTTGTTGTTTTTTTATATGCTGGGTTGCTATTGGCTTTTTCCATGAAATTCCCATGAACTTGCCACATGAACTTCCCAAGACAGTTTCCACGATTTTGCATCGAGTTTCCCTGCATTTTCCATGAAGTTTCCATGGTTGTTGTTTTTTGTTGACTTGCTGGGTTGTTGCTGGCTTTTTCCCATTAAATTCCTCTGAACTTTCCACAGACACTTTCCTAGAAAGATTTCACTATGTTCCATGAAGTTTCCATGCATGTAGTGTTCATGAATGTTCCATGCATTTCTTACTCATTTTCTATGCATTTATTATGCACTTTCTATGCATGTTCTATGCATGTCTTATGCACTTATTATGCACCTTTTATGCACTTGTTATACACTTTTAAAAGTGCATAGAAAATACACAGAAACCAAGCAACAGTGCATAGGAAAACTGTGGAATCTGTCTAGGAAAGTGACTGTGAAAAGTTCATGGGCATTTCATGGGCATTTCATGGCAACAAGCCAGCAACAAGCCAGCAGGCGGAAACACCAAAAGAAAAACAAGAAACAAACACATCTATGAACACTACATGGAAAATGCATGGAAACTTCATGGCAAACAGTGGAATCTTTCTAGGAAAGTGCCTGTGGAAAGTTCATGGGAATTTAATGGGAAAAAGCCAGCAACAACCCAGCAGGTCAAAAAAAGACAGCCATGGAAACTTCATGGAACATGCATGGAAACGTGTTGCAAAATCGTGGAAACTGATGTGGGAAGTTTATGGGAATTTCATGGACAAACCCAGCAGGTCCACATGCATGGAAATTTGATGGACAAGAGTGGACACTTTCCAGGAAAGTGTCTGTGGACAGTTCATGGGAATTTCATGGAAACAAGCCAGCAACAACCCAGCAATTCAAAAAAAAAAACACAACCATGGAAGCTTCATGGAAAATGCATGGAAACTTGATGCAACACCGTGGGAACTGTCTTGGAAAGTTCATGTAGGAAGTTCATGGGAATTTCATCGAAAAAGGCCAGCAACAACCCAGCAGGTCAAGAAAAACAACTACCATGGAAACGTGATGGAAAACGCATGGAAGCTTGATGCAAAATCGTGGAAACTGTCTTGGAAAGTTCATGTAGGAAGTTCATGGGAATTTCATCGAAAAAGGCCAGCAACAACCCAGCAGGTCAAAAACACAACAACCATGGAAACGTGATGGAAAATGCATGGAAATTTCATGGAAAATCCTGCAATCATTTTGGGAAAGTGCCTCTGGAAAGTTCATGGGAAGTTCACGGGAAAAAGCCAGCAACAACAACCGGTCAAACAAAACAACCATGGACACTTCATGCACTGTTCTTCTGAAGAGCTTGAAGTAGTCATATAATCTTAAACAGTTTTAATTTGATGTATTTGCTTCTGAATGTACATCAGAACTACATGATACATATGCATAAATTCAATCAACACACTTCTCACTTGTTAGCTTGTGTTGCAGACTGGAACTGTCTTGATTTTACTTAAATCCGCTCATGTTTTCCGCATGTTTTGCACAGGTCTAGGTTTCATATTAGTGCCTGCCCGCCTGCCTGCGATGGAGACCAGCTCTCCCAGCAAAAAGTCTGATGCGCCGAAGATGACCAGACAAATGGAACAAAGCCAACTTACAAATGACAAACTGCTGAAAAAGAAGGCTTTTTCCTTACAAATCAAGTGCTCTTTATTTTTTAAGTAGTTCTTAAATGTGATTGAAGTAGTTCTTAAACAATACATATTTTTTCACGCAGAAAATCCTTCTTAAACATTTACGGAAACAAAAAAGTACGTAAATCCTTTGCTTCTTAAATTTAAGAAATCTGCAGCATCTGACCGCAGAGACTGGGAGACACAGAAAGACAAGCGGGAGACACGATGGCGTCACAGCATCTGGCATCAAGCGGGAGACGCAACCCGGCATCTGACCGTGGAGACTGGGAGACACAGGGAGACAAGCGGGAGACAAGCGGGAAACACGATGGCGTCACAGCATCTGGCATCAAGCGGGAGACACGACCCGGCATCTGACCGTAGAGACTGGGAGACACAGGGAGACAAGCGGGAGACACGACCCCGGAGCCAACCGCGGAGACTGGAGACACAGGGAGACAAGCGGACACGACCCCGGAGCCGGCGTCACAGCATCTGGCATCTGACCGCAGAGGCTGGGAAACAGGGAGACAAGCTGGGAAACGACCCTGGAGCCAGCGTCACAGCATCTGGCATCTGACCGTAGAGACTGGGAAACAGGGAGACACGCGGGAGACACGACCCCGGAGCCAACCGCGGAGACTGGAGACACATGGAGACAAGCGGGAGACTGGGAAACAGGGAGACACGCGGCAGACACGACCCGGAGCCAACCGCGGAGACTGGAGACACATAGACAAGCGGGAGACACGACCCCGAGCCGGCGTCACAGCATCTGGCATGTGACCGCAGAGACTGGGAGACACAGGGAAACAAGCTGGGAAACGACCCTGGAGCCAGCGTCACAGCATCTGGCATCTGACCGCAGACTGGGAAACAGGGAGACACGCGGGAGACACGACCCCGGAGCCAACCGCGGAGACTGGAGACACATGGAGACAAGCGGGAGACACGACCCCAGAGCCGGCGTCACAGCATCTGGCATCTGACCGCAGAGACTGGGAGACACTGGGAGACAAGCTGGGAAACGACCCTGGAGCCAACGTCACAGCATCCGGTAGCCGACCGGAGAGACTGGGAGACAGGAAGACAAGCGGAAAACAGGACCCCGGAACCGGCGTCACACTTTCCCATTCTCGACACCTCAAGTTAGAACCCCAACGCTTCGCTGTTTGGGGAACTACTTGTTTTATATTATAAAGAGAACATTCTTCAGAAATGCTATATAAATTAAATTCACTATGATCGAGTACAGTTATCTGGTTAGCTTCATACTTAATTCATCCCCTAACAATTTCAGTGCCAATACTCCCCCTGCCCCTGTAATAAGGACTCTTTTCTCCTTTACAAAGTATGGAATAGATTCTTTGTCAAGAGTTTTCGAGTCTCTAGAAAGTAAAGCATAAAGTGGGACAGGAAGCTGTGACATAAAACTCTCATCTTGAAGAACATCTTCTAGAGGTGGCATTATCTTTATTCGTTTAAAATATTTCTCCGAATCTTGGTACTTTTTTTGTTATAGTTGAGTAAGCTGATGTTGGCAATGCTATGATTAAAGGGACACATTTTGAAGATAACATTGTTTCATGTAATTACATTTGTGAGACAACTTTTTTTAACATCTATGATTTTTTTGAAAATATATATCGTCATCAACAAACAATCTTATCATATGCCCTTTTGCATCAAGTTTCTGAGCTATCTTTCTCCCAGCAAGACCTGCACCATGATGATGTTTTAAGATACAATAGAGTAAGTGAGAAGTTGTGTGTTTCAACGTTTGGGTATAGTTCTTGACCAAAGACATTTTGAAAAACCGTTTTAATGTACTGTCTAAAGCACCTTGTGTTTTTGTGTCTTGAGCAAAAGCATAGTTGTTTCTTTCTTATTAACTAGTTTTAACTTAAGTGGTTCAATATCTTAAAATAAACTTCCTATAGATATATCAATATCACTGGAGGTATTAGTATTTGGAAATCTGTGTTGATCATATCGTTGCAAAGAAAACCAAGTATATGATAATGTTATGATTCATTTTAATATATCGGTATGATATATTTTCTTGTGGGCGGTATTCTTTAATTAAGATATAACTTCAATTAAAAGATTGGGGTCAGTTTCAACTTTTGATTGATGAATGGTATAACCTTGTGGTATATGTTGCTTTAATGTTTGTGATACCCATTTTCTGAACTTTGTACCTAAAATATCATTTATCCTATACCCTACGGATATGATCACATCAAAGTTATACTCTTTAACATGAAGTAACCTGTTTGCACGTCTGCAAAAACAACCATTTTATGTGGAAAACACTAGGGCCCACAGCGTACCCCTCTCTTTTTTTAAGGCCTCACTGTGAACCCAATGGGCACAACACCTATGACTTTCAGACTCTGGCCCATATGTAGAATAACTTTGTTTGGGGGACGCTTCAAAGATAAATAGCACTATTTCCCACATTTGGTCATCCCCTTCACTTTCCCACAAACGGAAAATCTGCCATCTACGTTTAACCTGACTCAAATAGGTGCGTCTTGTCTTGGAGGTACCCATTTGTTGGTGGCTTTAAAAGGAAAACCAAAGTGACAAACCACCACTTTGTCGGGTCCAACCTTCAAAACGATCACCCAGATCCTCCATTTGCTTCAGTCCCCAAGATGAGAACATATGTCCAGTAGTGATAGATTCCCTTCAAACCCAACAGCCGAAAACATAACAATAAGTTCAGCAAATGGATCAAGCGGGGCAATACTTGAGCTCCAGGGCACATAGAGCTTTTCCACCTCCAGGATGGTTCGCCCCAGACTCTTGGCCACGTTGCGCACCATGATCTGGTCTCCCCTCGGAAAGGCAAAATGGGCACCCGAAATCCGAATATGCCCCTCGGCTTGGCTTGGACACAATCCAAGTTGCAAACTAGAAAATGGACAGCCCAAAGCTACCTTAAGGCCAGATTTGGGCGACGTCTTTCGTTGAGGCTACCCCTTTGTTGGTGGAGGAAAACTGAAAGGAGCACCCACCAATTTAAGGGGGTCCGACTCCCAAAACGAGACGAGCCACGCATTTGCCCGCTGCTTCTAGGGCCGAGCGGCGAAATATCGTCGGGGATAAAATTCTCGCCGTAGTCCAGTATGTCCTCGGCGCAAGTCTCCGAGTGCTGCACTTCAAAACATCTGGCAGGGGGCCGAGACATTTGCCCAAACAAATCCTAGCCCAAGCTCGCTTAGAGGACCAACAGATTGATAAAACCGAATCTATGACCTCCATTTGCTTAAGTTCCCTGGAAAAAATGAGAACATATTTCCAACAGTGATAGATCCCCTTGACAGCAGGGGAAAATAACCCATATTCGTTTCAGCACATGGAAGATGATGGTGTTGACCCCAGATTTTCTTGACCTAAATGCATAGGACGGTGCCTCCTAAGGATAATCGTAGCCAGCATCAAAAGCAGGCATCGCTGCACACATTCATACGGTTCACAGGACCTGCATTGCAAAGGACACCCTCCCTCCAACAATCAAAAGAAATGGACGGGGGGCTTCCCCAAAAGGAAAGCAAACAACACCCCTCCCCAATCTCGTTCAACAAGCGGAGAACGCACTAGTTCTTCAGCAACCGGAGCTTGCACGATTCACCGACGGGGGAGATACCCAGAGTCCGACTAGGGGCAAGCGCTAACCGAACCTCTTAAAGATCTTGCTTTTGGTGTGCCCCAGTATACTGTACTGCTATACAGCACTCAGAACTATGGTTGTTGACAGTATCCCTTCTAAATCTTCAGGCTTTGTGAAAATACAGATGTTGGCCCGGATTTAATAAGCCCGCACTATAAAAAAAGGGGGGGTGGTGAAACCCCGCTACAAGGGGACACCCCCTTTCAGCAAGGGTGCATTTCTCCGGGGTTCCCATTGTGCTGTAGTCAACTAAATCTGACATTTCTCTGGGCACCCATACGAAAGATCTGCTCAAACGAAGGAGACGGGTCAGACCCGTGTGACCCGGTATGTGGCTGCCCATCATGTTCTGCGGAGAAGTCAAATGGTGCCAAGGGCTGCAAACACAAATGGAGACTTTGTGGTGGACATTTACATTTATACGCGAAAAAACCGTTTTGAGGTGTGTCCCATTCAGATTCATTCCCCTTTTCAATGCCAATGGCCCAGGAACCATCTAAAACCCGTTGGGCAATCTCCCACCATGAAAACAATTCGGGTTACCGGCAATATAAACACCCTTTTTCACCTTTCAGGATATCGTCATCTAAATTGGGTTCCAAGGTCATTCTCTTTTTGGCCAAGGAACTCCGTACTTAGATGGTCTGGGACGAATCGCTAAATGGTTAGTAACCCTAGTTGCAGGGGACTTACAACCATTGCTTTGGTGGGTTACAACCAGGGCAAAGCTGGTCTTTTAGCGATTCCCAGACCATCCAAGTAGAGTTCCTTGTGGGCTCCCTTGTGTTTCCTGAGGTCCAATGCTTGGGCATGAAAGGAAGTGCTTCGCCCGAAGACTCGACTCGATTGATCCAACGGAACTGCGGGCGCCTCTGAAATACACGGTGTGCCAAAAACAGGGGCACGTGCTAATGTGCCAAGGTACACTGGCCGAAACTTGCTTTGCACCAGTTGGTAGGTGGTTTCCAGTATTCACCGGTGTTCATCCGCCCCAACTGGTGCAAGATGGTGTCCATCCGTCCACAACCGACCAAGCGCGATATTCCGAAGCAATGACAAGGTATTCGCTTGCCTGGGAGGGCGTCGGTTCGCTTTACAGTTAGCGGTTGCAAAGCATGCCCTTTATGTACCTCTCATCACATGGTCATGGTTAGTCCACGATTTAGCTTAAGCCAAAGGTACATCAGGTAATCTCTCTATTCTTCTCAGGGATTCCTGTCCAACGAAACTGACATTTCAGAAAGCTGCTGCTTGAAAACATCATCAAAAGTGACATCAAACCTTCCCTTAACTCCATTAAACCCCTTAAATGAGCCTATTCCTTCCAACTTAGCTCATCCCCACACCCCCGATTTCCCAGCACGCGACCTCTCCCCCGAAACCACCGTACCCGGCGCCCGCTTGGTTCTCGGAGCTGCGATACCCATGAGCTCGGTGTACCACCGCTGAAACTCGTCGAAGTCAATGGACCCGCTGCCGTCCGCGTCCACCTGCCGACGAGACGGAACGTTTTGTCCGACGAAAGCAGGGGGCCCCAAAAAACCGAGGGGAGGGATCTCAAAGGGACCAAGAATGCGGGAACCCCCCCCCCCCCGGAGCTAAATTGGTTGGTTGGTTGGTTGGTTGGTTGGTTGGTTGGTTGGTGGGTGGGTGGGTGGGTGGGTGGGTTGGTGGGTGGGTGGGTGGGTGGGTGGGTAGGTGGGTGGGTGAATGGCAGCACTTTGGCTACCAGGCCACACCAGGAGCCAAACACCAGAGTAAAGGGGTAAATACGCCCTAAATAAGGCTGCACTGTAATATTTCTTTGGGGTCTGATTTGCGGGTCAGTCGGGGAAGTCTTTGAATCTCCCAAGCGAAACCACTGGGTTAAGTTGACGGGAAAATAATGTGATGTTTGGATCGTGCCTGGGCGTGGTTCTCTGTGCGTGTGTAAGTCTGTGTGTGTGTGTGTGTGCGAAAAGTAATAATAATACCAAAAAAAACACACAACAACAAGACAAAGTTGGATCCATCCTCTTCGGGGTGGAATCTGTGTGTGCGCGCAAAAGTAAGTTGGGTCTCTATTGGCGCGGTGTCCAAACGCAGCGCGCGTTTTCCTGAGCCTCTGCTCAGACGCAAACATGTGTTGATAGCGCATCCGCTTCGGTTTATGACCCCACTTGTCCCCCATGTTGAAAAATACACCCCCTGGAAGAGTAGGAATATACCCGTTAAAGCCAACACTAGTCTTAAGCAAATGGAAGTTGTTGATCAAGACGGTTTGGTTTGTGCCTTGACTGCTCGCAAGGTCTTGCAGGAGTCCCCAATGGCCCAAAGCTTTCAGCCAACCAGCTGACCCACTCAACAAAGTCTGTGGCCCTGTGGCCCCTACATGAGTCAATGTCTCACTCCAGGTTTGCTTGCTACAATCATTTCGTGTGCTTGCTGAGAGGTTGCCGTTTTGCTTCTATGTCTCACGTTCGGCGTGGTGCTGGATATGCAGCATGTAATGCGTGACAACTCACAAAGTGCTGCAAGGCAGCACGGAGTGTCAAGACCCGCGCGGGAATTTCAGGTACCGTTTAATGCAGAAGGATGTCCACACAAAGTCAACGGGGAGGACGACACATTGGTCATGCACAGAACTGGCTCCATGATGTTGGAATTGTCAACGTCACCCCCTGAGTGGTGGGTGAAAGGGAAACAACCCCAGTTTCCAACTTTGATAGCCCCAACACACCAGCAAGTTGGAACCTTTGTCTGCACAAGAGGAAGGCAAGAGGAAAACACGCAACTTCTCTGCCCAAAGTGGTCGGCTTGTCTTAACCCTGGCACACTGCCAGGCCTGATCCCATACGGCCCATACCTCTTTCTTGTCAAGATCCTGGCCGGTGATGCGTTCGTTGTACAACTGCAGTTTTTGCTTAAACATAGGAGATATGGGTTCATATGGCCATGGGTCAAAATCCAAATCGTACCTCCAGTGAACATCCCAATCCCCACTAAAGTAGACAAAAATGGGTGGTGCACGTACTCCGAAGATGGTTGTTTTCCTCTTGGTGTCCCTTGAAACCACCCTAGAAAGGGTACCCTCAAAACACAAACACCGACACACACACACACACACACCCACGCACCCACCCACCCACCCACCCACCCACCAACCCACCCACCCACGCACGCACGCACGCACGCACCCACCCGCGCACGCACGCACGCACGCACGCACGCACGGCCATGGGTTATCCATGCAATCAGCCATGTGAGTATAACGGATGCTGGATACATATGCGTGTACTCCCTTGTTCAGTCACCCTTGAGGCGGGTCCCCCGTTTTGCAGCCCATGCCATTGCAAGCAGGCAAGCGAGAGCCGCCGTGTACCCTCTTTCCAAACATGGAAGTGGACGAAGGGTTTGATCTCCTTTTCTAGGTCCTCCAGTAGAGAGGTCAAAATAAGGGTTTACCTAGTTTTCACTTCCATTGGAGCAAAGCGGGTGATTTGCCGTACAGGCGGGTTGGGTGGCTGTGGGTTTTACCACCAGTAGGACATCCACCAAAGGCGGCAGCTCTCAGGGGGGCAGAAAACGCCGACTTGGCTGTCACCAGCCAAATACCCACTCAATCCTTCACCTATCCACTACCTATCCACCTATCTCACTTACCTACTCACACTGCTCACCTACTCACTTGCTCACTCAGCAGCCCACTTATCTATTCTCATCAATTAATTTCCCACCTCACCCACCTGCTCGCCCACATGCCTTGGAGGAATCAAAGCAGGTCCAGCCAGCCAGGCCATGCCTTTTGCTGGGTACCCTTTTGGTAGGCAAAAAGGGAAACCGCCCGGAAAACCCCGTGGCGTTCCCTCCAGCTCCTCCTGTGGGCGCCGCAGCAGCCGCGACAAGAGCGGCATGAACTCCTGAGAACCGAGAGCCGTCGACTGAGGCGGCTTTGGACGCCAGAAGAAGCCTCCACACGCTGGGCTGCCCTCAGATCCGCGAAAAGTGAATCACTATTGTAGCGGGTGAAATGGAAACCCAACAACCACTAAACCTTCAAAGGCTAAAAAGCTAAGGGGATGGCTGGAAACCACCGAGAACAAACCCAAAAGTCAAACCCCTGGTTGATACGATGGATGCACCGACAAAAATACATGTAAATGTAAAGCAACCACAAACCATGAGAATTTACCGCTTCCGTGGTTCCATACTTGCAATATTTGGGGGCATCCACCGTAGGGTCGCGGTGTTTCCACAAAATGATCTTCTATTTTCGCGAGGAAACACCCCCGGGTATTCCCGAACATCCGGGGTCGTCAGCCATACTGAAAAAAATGTTTCTGCAAGTCGTGTGATACATAAGCCACGCTCGCCAATCTGGGAGAAGCTAACCCTACAACGGCGACATGAGCTTTTGCTGTCTGGAACGTTTCGGGTAACGTTAAACGTGACTGTCGTTTGAGGGCAGGATTGAAAAACATCTTAGAAAGTCTTGAGCACATCCTAGAAATAAATATCCGTAACCCAAAAACAAAATCGCTCGGCTCCATGAAACGAGCACTTGCAAGCACAAAGGGCGCGATGCGAGCTAGAATAAAGCTGCGCAAAACATAAAATAACTACACCAACAACAGCGCTTTGCATTTTGATTCAAAAACATGTCTCCATGCAAAACCAGTCAAGGGGCCCATGTCCGAAAAACCACGGGCCAACATGAGATGGATGGCGTTTCTTCGGGGTTTTCGGGATTCCCTTGAAGGAAACCAAATCGGATGGATTGTTTCTGTTGGGGTTTTCGGGATTCCGTCAAAGGAAGCCAAATCGGGTCATTCCCAAGTTCTCACATCGAACCAGCAAGTGTTTTTCCTTTGTTCTCCTTTTTTTGGTAACCTGGGTTATAACCCACTTCTGGGTTCCCTGAAGTAGAAAATATGTTTAATAGGTAGGGAATGACGACGAGTCCGGGTGTTGATGAACGAACCGTTTGCTATTCCCGAAAAAAAAGGGCACCAAATCGGCCGGATGGTTCTCGGTCGGGGGTTTTGTGGGATTCCCGAAGAAAACAGGACACCAAATCGGCTGGACGGTTGTGGGATTCCCAAATAAAGGAACCACATCCGGCTTGGATGGTCTTTCTCCGGCTCGCTCCGCTTCACCTCATCCGCCTAAACTCGGCTCGAGTGGCCCGTGGCTCGATGGCGCCACTGCCATCTTGGTCGAACTCCAGGAAGATCCGGCGGATGGTCTTCAGATCCGTCACCGCCTAGCCAGCTACGGATCTAAGCTCTAAGGAAGCAGTGGGGGGGGGTCCCCGGGTTTTTGCCTTCATTTTTGAATGAGTTCTAGTTATGGCCCAAGGGACCTTTCAGGTTGTTCAAGCTGTTCATCTTGTTTACGCATAAACGTCACCAGTCTGGGTCTTTCTGGCTAGATTTCCCTAGGGATCTAAGAAATGGGCGAACCCTGAGGGAAGACAAAATAGACGAAGCACCTGACCTGGTAACCTACTGGAATGGACACGAAAAGCAGGGTTTGGAAACGGGATGTCATGATCCGAGAATTTCAATGGATCCGAGAATTTCAATGGATGTCATGAAGCAACACCGGGCAAGGGTATACTGCAATGGCCGAAATTAAGTAAAGGCTGTGGGGTGCAGTAAACCTTGATCATAAAAAGATGCTGTGCGGAATGATTTAGTATGATTTAGTATTATGTCACCTGTGTCATGGTGAGGTGTGCGGGTGAAGCCAAAGAATCACGCATCTTCAGGTCGGCATTTGGGGATAAACCTATGTGGGCGTCTGTTATTTGGAGGACCCAGACAAATGGGTGGTTTTCATTGTGGTCCCTTTGTTGAAAGGTGGGATCTACCTAAAAGTCAGCACGGGCAGCAGCTTGTTTTTCTTGAGCCATTGTCATGTCGGTATGCCATTACCTATCAACACCCCCCGCTTTGCAGAGGTGCGTTGGTGAGAACAGTACTTTGTACACGTTTCTCCCTCCCATGCCTGAAGCAAAGTCCTCTGAGGTCAAGGCAGTGAAGACGTAGAGCCTCAGTGGGATAGGTGGCAAGCCATGGTGATATGAGGCCTCATGCGTCAATGGCCGCTGCAACTGCGATGCATTTGGACTTTTGCAGGAGCGTGCCATCCGAATCGGCCGACCACGACTTCCGTCGGGCAAAACACATGTGATTTCCATGTGAATGCTTGAAACTGAATTCACACTGTTGCCATCAGCGAAGGTGATCTCACGACCACAGCTTCCGCTGGGCAAGACTGAAATGACATCCGGTGGTGGCGGTCGTGGATTGACCTACGGCCGCAGCTTCCGCCGGGCGTGCAAACTTAGCACTGCTAATGTTGCGGCATAGATGGATGAAAAATAATAGTTTTGAACATGACATCACCAATGAAATTGAAATGGTCACCGCAACATAAGCAAACTTTTGTAATTGATGCGGGTGCTCACCATCCCCACGGGCCCTGACGCCATTGATGCCATCCAGAGGACCACCCGTACCAAGAGCTCCAGTCCTGACGCCCCGTGCTCTTGCCTTTGCCCTTGCCCTTTCCTTTGGTGTAGGGCTCGGGGCGAATGGACCGGGTGATCGCCCTCCACTGGGTGTTCCTCGCCTCAACAGGATAGGTCCGCGTCCGGCCGGAGGAAAACCGCGGGATTTCGAGTTCACCGGTGCTGATGGTGCCCTGGGAGTCGAACTTGATCCAGGAGGCCCGAATGAAACTGACCATGACCTCCACAATCTTTTCGACGTTCCCTTCCGGGACGTATGAACCGCTGTGCCCGATGATAATCGGCACCTGGTTGCCCGGAATGAAGCGATAGGCACACATGACCGCAAACTGCATGATGCTGTAAAACCTCGCATGGTGTGCAATGAAAGCCTCCGTGGAAACGTTCAACTCATGGGGATCGCGTTTGTTGAGGCTGGGGATGAACACCAACTTCGTTCCGGTGTTCTGGGATCCGCCTCGCTCGCGTTCCTCCCTGGTACGGCCTGGGTCAGCAACAACCGCTCGGGCAATCCGGCCAAGGAAGTCAAGGCTCTCTGGGGTTAGCCCTTGCGTGGCGCAGTTGTATGCGTAGAATGGGTCGACCGAGAGCCGGTCAGATACCTTCTCGCATCCCATCGTCAACGCCTTGGTTAGGTGCGTTTTGGCCGTCTTCCTGAGTGACGCTTCGACGGAGATTCCTCCCCGCTTCTCGCCTTCCTTGAAGTGATGCTTGGAACGGATCCACTTCCCTCCGCCGCCTTGCAAATCCTCCAGGTAGAAAACCATGCCCTGGAGGGATGCTGTGTGCTCGAGGCGCACCACCTCAGTGGCGATGCGTGCGTCCGTCCAAGACACCATGTCTGACCGGCACTCCTGACACAACAGGTAGCCGTCGATCTGTTGGTTGTTGCACCTCCTGTTCCAGCATTTCACGACCGGTACCTTCATCATGGTCGTGAATAGGAGGTCCTCCCAACGTGGCTCACTCTGGTAGCGGTTCCGGAGGTTGTTCCAGCCGCGACCATGCCCTTTCTCTCCCCTGGAGAGCTCGGGCACCCGTCGAAGGGTTGCAGGCGCAACCTGATATGTCGGGCCTGCAGGTCTCTCATTCGACTTCCCCTTCCGGGGAGCGAGCTCATCGACCGTCTCAATCTCGGTCACGGCACCCGGAAGCAATTTGCCGTTCTTCGTCCCCTCAACGACGGTCCGCCAATGCCTCCAGGCCTTCTCTGCGGTCAGGGTGTTTTCACTTCTGAAGAAGTTCGGATTGACGTCCTGAGGCCCAGGCGCAAGCTCGGTTGTCAGCGCCTCGCGATACCTTTTGCGAAGCTCAGGGTACGCACGATTGAAGTAGAGGAACTCATTCTTGCGGGTATGGAAAGCGTAAATAATATAGGCATTTCCAACCCAATCTGCAGACATAAACGCCTCATCGCTCGTGAAGAGTCGAATGCCGTCTTGCATCATGAGCTCAGTATCAAAAGCAATCGTGACGGGCCTTCCGGCTCGCGTTCCTGCCAGCTTCCTCATCTGCGCCTCCCAGGGTGGCGTGGGGTTGAAGTAGACGTGGGCTCTGCCAGTCGACTTCGGATAGCCCCCCGGGACCAGGCCGAACTTGAGGATACTCTCGGCCGACCTGAGGTCACAGGTGTGGTAAAGGACTGCCGGAAAGCCTCGGCGCCACAGGTCAGTAAGTTCCGGATGCCGCACAGCCCTCGGGTAGTGGCCGTCAAGGTATTTCGCCGCGGTGAACTCCTCGTCGAAGGAATACAAACTTGTCAGGATCGCCTGCTCAGTGTATTTCCTTGTGAGCTCGTTGTGGTGTCCTTGCACGGCCCTCACTCGCAAAGCCTGATACGGCAATCCTTTCCAGGATGCTTCCCCCAATAAAGGGGGCCCAACCATCACGCGGAATCTGCGGGTGTTATTGTTCCGGATGCAGATCATCACCTCCCAAGGCATGACATTGGCAATCCGGTCATTCAGATGCCTAACCAGCGCATCGAATTCCACCGACAGGTCAACTCCGCGAAACGGCGGGTGGGGCTTGCCGTCCTTGAATGCCCCTCCCCGGAGGAAATAGGACATTTTCTTCGAAATTGCGACCAGTCGGTAGTCGCGGTCCATGTTGACCTTCGGGACGTGCCCCATGTCCTCGACCTCAAGCCACTCGCTCTGCTCCTCCGGCCGGGACGTTGGTATTGATCTTCCGGGTCTTTGCCCAGTCTTCCCAGAAGATCTTCTCTTGCTTAGGGTCCTTCTGCTTTTTCGACCGGGGTTCCCCCTCGGCGTTGCCTGGCGGCGCCTTGGCCTTTGCAATCCTCGGCATCGCCTTCACCTGGGGCTTGTCGGTCGAGCCTGCAGCCGTGGGGTCCGACTCGTCTCCAATCTCAATGAAACCAGTCGACTGGGGTTCCCCCACAGCGTTCTTGGCAGCAGATCCGCGCCTTGACGGCGGCGGTGTTGGCGGTTGCTTGGATGTGCTGGTGCCCTCCGTCACGGACTCAAAAGTGACCGACTCCGCGGTGATCATGGAACTCATCCCTGCCGCCTCGGAATCATCAGCTTCCGACACCATCTCCAATGATGCCACCGTTTCCTGATCGAACAAGTCACCTTCAGCGATGATAATCGACTGGCCTTCCGGCGCAGCACGGTGCACTCCTGGGGGCAGATTCGTCGCATCCCATCCAAAGTCATGGGTGTCATCGCCCAGTAAGAGCCACTTGTCTTTGTCCTCGTCGTCGGGGACCTTGGACAAGCCGTGTTTCTCCGCCGTACTGTCGATGTAGTGGGACATCGCGAGTTCCACTCGGTCAAGCTCGTCGTCGGAGTTTTCCTCACCTTTGTCGACGGCTTCAAGCACGATGTCGGATTCCTCGACCTTTGCCCCCCGCATGTCGATGGTTATGGCGTTATAGGACTCATCCTCCGCCACCTTCATCCATGCGGCCACATCGGCGTCGATTTCGTCGCCCTCCTGGTCGTGGGACCAGTCGGGCTTCTCTTCCATCGCCGCGTACTCGTGGAGCGCTTTGGCCAGCTTCAAGCATGTTGGCCAGCCAAAGAGCACCGGGTCGACCGGTTCACCTGCCACGTAGGGCTCAACCCTCCCAATGGCTGGGAGAGCGTATCTGATACGCTGGGCCAACAGCTGCGTGTTGATGGCCGCGTGAAGGAATTTCGACACAACCTTCCGGTTGGCATTGCTGTACGTCATGTGCACGTCATCGTACCTGTGAGCTAGCAATGTCATAACCGATGGGTCGATCGAGTCGATCGCCTTGATGCGGGCCCCATCGTCGATGTCCCCGTTGGCCAGGTGTCGAAGGCAGCCGTTCATAGCCTCGTTGTAATCGGACGTGAGGGCATAGTCCTCGGCGTCCGGGTTGCTGATGAAGGTAATGTCTCGAATGCGTCCGAGCCCAACCGCCTCCTTGAAGAAGTCGAGCTGCTCGTACACGCGAGTCTTCTGAACCGTCGGCCACTCTGACGCGGCCTTCCGGCCCGCCTCCGTTCGGTTAAACCTTTTCTCATGGATCCATCTGCACCCCACGAAACCATAGTTGCCGAAGACATCGTTTCCTCCCCATAACACGTAAACCGAAATGGGAAGCTGCTTGATGCCCTTCTGAGAGTTGTCCTCGGCGATGAATCGCACTTTGGCCTCCATGGTGCTGTAGATAGCCTCAAGCCCCCTACCCCAATCCATGCCGTGGTAAATGTTGCGGACCCCCTTCAGCTGTT